AACCTCTTCTATAGAAGAGGTTCCACAAATCTACAGTGCCGTTTAGAACGGGTTCAAGCTCCCTCCCCTCACCCGTCCACACATCATCAAGATGAAGAGCAAGAGGAGGAATTCTGGGAGTTGAAGTCCACAGGTCTTAAAGCTGTCAAGTTACAAGACCCTTTCACCCCTAAGCCTTTAGAAAAAAAAAAACCCAGGGGTGTTCAAACTTGACAGCTTTAAGACCTGTGGACTTCAACTCCCAGAATTCCTCCTCTCGCTCTTCATCTTGATGATGTGTGGACGGGTGGAGGGAGGGAGCTGGAACCGGTTCTAAACGGCACTGTAGATTTGTGGAACCTCTTCTATAGAAGAGGTTAGAACTGGCAGGAACCCACCTCTGGTGAGGTGTTACAAAGTGAATCAGTGAATCCTCATAGAAGATACAGTATAGCAGGACATGAGCTGTAATTCCAATGGCTCCACTGGGGCAACCATCTCGAATATTTCAAAGTTCTTTCCTATATCTCAAACAGCTTTTCACCATGATCTGCCTTTATTTTTGTGTAACCTGTCTCCCACAATTTCTGGACTGTATAACAAAATTGTGGCTGTTGTTTATTTTTAGTTTCCTACTCTTCAAACTGTAGAGGGAAAGCTTTTTAACATTTAATCCTAATGTAACCTCAACTGAATCTGAAATATAGTTTCTCACAACCAAACTATTTATGTAACCACTAAGAGTCCACACTGATTGGATGTCCCCTAGCCTATCAATAGCTCTACACACACAAGATAAGAGTTTAGCTATTTGGGATGACATATTCTGTAAACAGTAAAAATATAGTAAATACCTTTTTAATTAGTCACAAACTGATTCCATGGACTATATTGGATGTGTGTGACTATTTAAGGGTATAGAAACAGAAAGATAAAGCTGAAATCAAGAAATGTGATAGTTCTACAATTATGGAGAAAATCTATTTATGTGACCACTAAGAGTCCACACTGATTGGATGTCCCCTAGCCTATCAATAGCTCTACACACACATCACACAACACACACACACACACACACAAACACAAAAAACCCTCATCCCAATTTGGCCTTTGGGAGTAAAAAAGGAAGTTTAGAACAACCCATTCTTCTCTGATTTTTAAGAAATAGGTAGGCACCATACCTTGCTAAAGCTGTCTTTTTTCTTCTCTTTGACCTCATTTTTGTCCATTCTTCTGGTTCAGCTACATTCTTGGTCATCCATGCTGGGAGGATCCTCTTCTTTGCTGCCTCAGGGGAGCCCATTTCTGTTAATTAAAAAAGAACAACAACAATTTGTGCAACAAGAACACTTGAAATTAAACTTTGGCAACTGAATTAAGGGTTCCATGCAGCCTATTGTTCCTCTCCAAGACAATGTTTACACATCTCAGCCATTTGGTACTAACCATAGGCAATAACTGAACTGGCAGCAAACAAAGCAATTGAAACTACTTTTGGTGCATCAATCAAAAAACATACTGGCTCATCTTTGCCATAGCTGGTCAGCTAACACTTTATTTTATAAATATTCTAATAAATAAATAAAACTATGCAATTACACTCCGAGATTGTGGGAGAAAATTAAGTATCACCCACTCCATCTTGTGTCCCTCATTTCAATAACTTGAAGGTACAAGCACATATGTAGAAAAAGTAACAGATGGAGCTAGACAGTTTTAAATATTCTAAACAAAGGACAAGCACTGAAGGTTTTTACGTTGCTTTAATTTGCTTCCGCTCAGCCCCTCCCTCCCACCCCCAATGTTCATCCTTGGACCAAAAGATCTACAAAAGGTTTTCTGCTTCTGGCTTCTTCTACACAAGCAGCTCCTGAGCCTCTTGAATTAAGAGTTAAGGAGGCAATCTTTACCCTATAACTCCTTACCTGTAACAATCTGAATTTGGGGATTTATAGACACTTGTGGGTCATTCAATTCCTAAATCGGGCCAAATCCACCCAGTGTTGGAACTTGTCCAATAATAAGGACCTCTCCACTATCTCCCATGGTATTATGCTGCAAGTCTAAATAGAAAGAAAACAAAACAAAACAAAGAAAAAGAGTGGGAGTTCTGGATGAGAACCAACATTAGATTTTTCAGGCATCGAATATTTCAGAGATTTATCGACATCACTAATCACAACAGGCAATTTTACTCGTTTGCATTATCTATTTGGAGCCATAACGACCAGGCACAAGAATAAAATTAACAGATTAACAGAGTTGAAGGCACCTTGTAGGTCATCTAGTCCACCCCCCAAGCAGGAGACTCTACACGATTTCTGATGGAAATATAAAGGCAGGCACGAATACTGTTGTGCACTAAATTCACTCTACTCCATGATGACGCTTATTCTCAAACCACTTCACAAGACTTCAGGCTGAATCCAATCGCTCCTACTTCCTCGTACGAGAAACTATGCAGTTACTCTCTTAAATATCCGAAGCTAGGAGGATCCGTAAAACCAATAAACCCGTTTTTAAAACAAAGAAAAAGACCACGGGGGCGTTTACTCGCCCTGCGAATCAAGATGCTTCGCGTCGCTCGCCGATGCCCACCTTGGAAAGCCGGAGTAAGTGCGGGGGCTTTCCTGGAAAAGTGCTCATAGAAAAAAAAAGGGGGGGGGGGAACCACCTTCACCCAGCATACCTCTAAGCACAAAGCAACGGCATAAACAACCACTTTCTGCTGTCAGGCGGGGGGAGGGAGAGGGGGCGGAGAGCGAGATGAGCAGCGGCGGGAACGAGGATTTACTTGAGTCACGTGAGCTGCACACCAGGAGCTTCTTGAATTTCAAGGAGGCAACCGGAAGCAGAATGAGACCTGTGTTGCGTAGACTAGACCAGTGATCTCCAATCTTGGTAACTTTAAGACCTGTGGACTTCAACTCCCAGAGTTCCTCAGCCAGCAAACCTGGCTGAGGAACTCTGGGAGTTGAAGTCCACAGGTCTTAAAGCTGCCAAGGTTGGAGATCACTGGACTAGACTAGAGCTCTTGGCGAAAAGGGAGGAAAAATGATCAAAACCAGTTCCCCCCCCCCAAAAAAACTCGGCCTTTAAGATGTGTGGACTTCAATTCCCAAAATTCCTTCAAGTCCACACTTTAAAGGTAGAGTTTGAAAGCTCACGTGTGGTTCCCCCCCCTCCTTTGAATAATTGCCAGTTCCTCTTTTGTATCATTTTTATAGTTGATCTCCAAAATGTCCACATTTTTTTCATTTATCAAAATTCTATACTTTTTAAGTGATAAAAAGGGTTTTTATGTGCAAAATTTTTAAATATACTTGATTTTTCCTCTTAAGAAATCTGATATGCATTTATTCTTTCCCTTAATTTCATAAGCTGTTTACACAAAACATTAAACTACACAATAGCTATACAGGTAATCCTCAATTTATGACAGTTCAATACGGCAATGAAAAAGGTGACATGTTCACATTTATGATCTTTGCAGCATCCCCATGATCATGTGATGCTTGACAACTGGTTCATATTTATGACCCTTGCTGTGTCCCAAGGTCATGTGTTCATATTTTGTGATGTTCTGACAAGCAATGGGGAAGCCAGATTCACTTAACAACCAGGTTACTAACTTACCGGTATCAACTGCAGCGATTCACTTAACAACTGCGGCAAAAGGTCACAAAATGGGTCAAAACTTTCTTAACAAATGTTTCACTTAGCAACAAAAGTTTGGACTCAACTGTGGTTGTAAGTCGAGGACTACCTGTATTTTAGACTAGGGTTTTGTTTTAATGAAATTAATGTGGTTGGTTCATGATTTGGTGTGCAATGTCAAGCCATTAATAAACCATAATTGTTAACCATAAAGCTTGTCATAGGAATGCAGCCACATTGCACTCCACATATGAGTTTTGATTTACAGGAATGCTTAAGTATGGAAATTGCATATCCAACTGAGATTTCAAACTGTTGCAGTGTGGATGCTGCCATTTGAAATTCTATCAGCTCAACCCTTTTCCTCCAGTGAAAAAGACCTTACCAATAATGACAATATTCAGCCTTAAGAGGATCATTCTGGGCTCCCCTCCCCCGCTTTTTAATCGATCTATATCGCACTGCCATAAGCATGCTATGGTTGCAATGGTGCCAACTCATCTATCTCTGCCCTAACAAAAACAGAATGATTCTAAATTGTTATAGGCTGTAGGCCTGAACTTTTCTCCATTTCTTTCAACTATCTTCAGTACTTGCCAAACCACATTTATTACAGACACTATTGTTCACCTTCTGCTTGGAATTATTGTACTCAATCCGTTACAGCTGAAGGCCACAGCTATGCCTCCTTAGATGTATTTCTAAGAGTAACTGCATGTGGTGAACTCAGGATGATGACCAAGAATACTATTCATGACACAAGTACATCTAAAAAATTATGGACTGACATAAAAGCAATTCCAAGGTATCATATGCTGGTGTTTGTATGTTTCACTGTGTACAATGTGTTCTTATCCTCTCCAAACAGGCAAATTGCTAGAAATATAGAAGAAAGCAAGCTGAGAGTTCTATAAAACTCTCGGCTTTCTTTCGTAACAGAACTTAATTAGGATGAACTGATTAGTAAGAAACAGATGCCATTTCATAACATTTTACTATCATATGCTTTTTGTAGTCTATATCAGATGTCCAAAACTCTAAAGGAAAATAAACAATATGAATTATATAATAACTTTTTTTTCTTCTAGGAGCATAGCACGGAATGTTCTTCAAACAATCAAAGCAACATAATGTAAATGCAATCAAGTTTTCTTCTAGTAAAAATGCAGTCAATACTGTTAAGAGTTTTGAATAAGACTTCCCGCTCCATCTCCCACCTGCTAGATCCACAACAAATTTGTACTCGGTCTTGGGACCAACCCAGAGAATTATGGCTGTGCGCTAATTAGGACCAAGAGGAAAAATGGGCTGATCCTTATTGAAAGGAACTTGATGATCAGGGAATGTTTAATATTTGTTGAAATGAACTGTTAGAATGTACTCTTCTAAATGGCAGTAGTTTGGCAATTAAACTTAACTCCTAACTTAAAAAGAGATGATGACATTAAGACAAATGATCTCCCCACCCTACAAAAGTTTGAAGCTAATAGTTAATACTGATAATTCATTCTTCTGTAAAAAAAAAGTTGTTCACATCTTGGAGCACAGTTTCATTCATGACTTCTGTGCAAGTAGAGTAGTTAGTTTGATCTTCCCATCCATGGATGCAGTGAGGCAGGTCCCACAGTCCATGGCTGTGCACCAGTCCACAGTGACCACTGGAGCCCTGTGTCCTCCAAGGGAAAGACAGCTCTCTAGTGCTTTGTCATTGCTATTCAGCTGAAAGAGAGAAAATATAAATCAAAGATTAGCAAGGTTTTATGGTAGAAATAATTTACCAATCTGGGATCTAAAATTCTGGGACAGGGTTGTCAAACTCCTGGCACATGGGACAGATGCGTCACATGCTGGCTACACCTATGCTTGGTTTAGCGAAGGAGAAAAAAGTCCCAATATATCATATGATGTACGCGGTGATGACGTGAGTTTAACACCCTTGTTCTAGGACAACTCTGGTCCTTTTAAAAAATAGAATACTACCCTGGACTTTAAGCCATAGAGCAGAGCTAAGACAAATAATGCCAGAATGATTATTAAAGTACAATATATACTAATGTCAACACAGGTTACGTGGATCATAAAATAGACTAAATTTAATCACTCTACTTCTCAAAATATGCTGCATTTACTCTGTCCCCACTTATGAGTTTCCCAAACCCTTTAACTTTAACAAGATATATGACCATAGGAAAGACCTATCTGATGTAATTAGCTGTTTCCAATATCTATCCAGATGACTACTATAACCCTTCTGATCTTCTTTGGTAATTCCACCCAGAGGCACTGTACGTAGTCAGATTAACATGTAATATTAGATTTCAATGTGGCTATTTGGTTTTGGCTTAGACATGTGATTTTTAAATCATTTATGCTTTCGTAAGTTATGCAAGTCCATCAAATTGATACTTATTCATAAATCATAGCTGAAGGCCTGGTTTAGAATGAAAAAGTATCTGTTCTTGTTACAGAGACAGCATGTAATCATTTTAACCGATAGCTTGTACCTTGTAGATAACACCTCCAGTAGAAGAACAGGTTAACATGTAGTTTCCTTCAGAATCAAATGCAAAGAGCCTTCCACGTGGGAATTGGACTTGTTTGTATCCACTATAGCCAGACAACACAAAGGGCCCAGTGGCATCTTTAGGGAGACTAAATTCAGAAATTTTGCATCCGCTTTTATGGATATTCCATTGAATAAACTACAATGATATAACAGATCCCAGTAAGATATACAATACAGATGCATTCTTTACTTTGCAATAGCACCTACAGATACAGAGAAAAAAAACATTGATACTCGAAAAAACATAACCAATGGGGTCCCTATAAATTAGGACATCTGCTAGTTTTCAAAATTATTTACAGATTCATTGGATTAACAGCTTTCAGATGAAACTTCAGAAGATATAGAGGATTGCATGGTCTTTTCCAGATAAGATGACATTAATTACATATAAAGGTAAAGGTTCCCCTCTCACATATGTGCCAGTTATTCCCGACTCTAGGGGGCGATGCTCATCTCCATTTCAAAGCCGAAGAGCCAGCGCTATCCAAAGATATCTCCGTGGTCATGTGGCCGGCATGACTAAACACCAAAGGCACACGGAACGCTGTTATCTTCCCATCAAAGTTGGTCCCTATTTTTTCTAACTGCATTTTTACATGCTTTCAAACTGCTAGATTGGTGTTCGAACTGCTAACAGGAGTTCACTCCATTACACGGCACTAGGGATTTAAACCACCGAACTGCCGACCTTTCTGATCGACAAGCTCAGTGCCTTAGCCAGTGAGCCACCGCGTCCCTCTATAGTTATAGTTACCAGCTATTTTGAGGGCTAAATATATCTCCAAATAAATAGATAAATAGATAGATAGATAGATAGATAGATAGATAGATAGATAGATAGATAGATAGATAGATAGATATAGATATAGATATTGACAGATATTGATATAAATAAATATGTTGCTGTCGTATATGTCAGTTTGGCCACAACTTTTTAAAACCTACCTTTCCATCTTCACCTATGCTGTAAACAGCATTCTCATCATAGCTGAATTCAACAGAATAAACCTCTCCATCATGGGCCTTCCAGCTCATAGCACACTCGTGCTGCTGCATATCTGGAAGACAGAAAGGAAAAAAATGCAGGTGGATTACCTTTACAAGCTTCCAAGTGTTTCTCTTGCCAGCCCTGTTGATATTCTGACAGGAAAGACTTTTGCTGGCTGGTATTATAACGGGATGATTTCTCTAGAGGAAGGAAACAATAAAGGAGGAAAATAATCTTTGCAATAGTTAAAATGGTGTTCAACATGACTAATTCTACTAACCCTCCATCTCCGTTCTATTAAAAGGCGATAGATGCTCTGAAGCTTGGAAGACAGCAATTTGGCAACCTCCATTGATTTTGGGCACAATATTTACATGTATTTGTGTATTTTCTCGCTGGCTTTACTTCGGGAGAAAATGGAAGTTAGAACTTCATTCCTACAAATGTTCCTCCTCCCTAACTGAAGCTACATGCAACAAAAAAAGACCAATTTTGAAATCTTAACAAACTCTACCAAAACAAAAACAATTGTTAGTCCCGTTTATTCCAGTATGAGATAAGAAAGCAGGGAAAAAAGAGTGAA